TGCCCCGCCCGGGGCTACCGCATCTCGCGATTCGTCTCGGAACAACTATTTGCCGCCGCCGCGCGACCTCGTCTTCCTCACCCACAGGTTCCGTTGGATTGGGGACTTTTTTTTTTTTTTTTAGCTCACGTCAACGGTAGACAATCGCACCTTGCTGACTGTTTCCAAATATCTGTGCCCGCGGGCAAGACACCGAACCCTAAATTGGCTGCGGGTCAGCGTTGTCAATTCCAGACCGTTCTCAATCGCTCAAGTTGCGGTCGCGCTGAGTGGCAATCGCCCCGCGTTGGAGGAATGTGACTTGTCGACCGATGACAAGATCCAAAACGGGGGATTTTGCTGGGAAAGCGAGACGTGGACTTCCGTGTGGCGTGACGGCATCAAGATGAAAGCCGCGCGCATATGTATGTTGCTTGCATGCACAGAGTTCCCTACCTTGCAGCTCGACTGCGCATGTGTGAGAATGTTGCGGATCTTTGCACAACGTGAAGTCTCCTTCCGCGCGTTGCCGATGTATGAAACTCACGCTCGATAATACACGATGGAAAATGCGTGTGTCTGTCTGCCTCGTCACGTTGGGGGAAAATGCGTCATCTTGTTCCTTCAGCGGAGCCTGCGCTTGTGCTCCGGCCAATCATATTACAGCGGGGTGTGGCCTGCCGAGAAAATCGGTGGGATTCGGAAGACGGGGGAGCCCCCCCCCTCCACTATTTCCACACAGATGCCTCACAAACAGGGAAAATCGATGCCCGTTGTCACTGAATTGGGAAATTTGGGGGGGGGGAGAGAATTAAAGCGGGGATCGCCCCACCCACCCCCAAAAATACAAATTTGGATATGAAATTATTTTTTTTCATGATAAATTAGGAGAAAAAAATGCCGCGGGTGGTCCATTGTGGTGGGCCGCCTTTGAACGACCGCGCAACCTTTCCCGAGCCGGCAGGTGGCGCCGTTGTCCGAAGCAAGCAACTCCTTTCTTCCGAGGCGAGGCGGGGCCCCGGTGCGTGTTTGTTTCCGCGGAGAGGTTGGACTCCACCGATCCAGGCCGTCCACGTGACGTCACATTTCCCCCCGTTTTCAACCGATCGAGCCAAATTTCTGCGTCGACTTAAATGGCAAATGTCCTCAATGTATTTTTCTTGCAAAAGCACACCGTTGTGAGCAACTCGACAACATATTCCTCGGGTTGCATCTTAAGCTCCCTTCGGCGGTGTCTTTTGTTTGTCCTTTTTTAACTTCCATGGCGTCTTTTGTCAGTGATGCGTTGATGGGTTCGTTCCCACCCCAGACAGGTTCGGGGCTCGATCTCCGGCCTCGGCGACCGTGTCGAAGTGTCCTTGAGCAATCACCCAAGTCGCTCCTGCTGCCGCTTCATCAGTCGGTGAATTAGGTCACGGTGTGAAGCGCTTTGAGTACCAGAGACAGAAAAGCGACCGCTCATTTCATAGCATTTGATGTGAAGTTAGTGTCGTCACGTTTTCAAGTGACCACTGAAGTCGTGGACGTTTTATTGAATAGGAAATCACTGGATAGCCATAAAGAAGAAATCGATCAATCGGTCTATAGAGGGCTCCGTCCTTCTCGCAACGACCCACAAAAACAAGCCAAGGCTTGTTGAGAACAGCCCTCCGATATGGCCGCCGGTAGTGCATTGTGGGTCATTGCTCAAAGGACGGAGCCCTCTATTAAAATGCCCCCCCGCCCCCCCATGTTGTTTGTTGTTGTTTTTCCCTTGCCCTTTTGTGGTGGTGAGCTCAGGGGATGTGGCTAATGTCTGTCACCTGTGGGTTTGCGAAGCCCTTCGAGTCGAAGGGCTAGTGTTAAAAAACAGCATTTTACATCCTCATTTCTGTCATGCTGCGATGTGTTCTTTGTGACGCAAGTGTGTTCTTGGGACACGTTTGTTTGTTTTCAAGCCACGAAAGAACGCCATATCCGGTCCGTACTCGGCGCGAAATGAGCCTTCCTGTTCAGCGGTGACGAGAAGCGGCCGCTCTCTGCGCGCACGCCACGCGTTTGAGTGAAGCGAGAAAAGTCATCTCTCGTCTTCCTTCTCCCAAACGCATCGGGAACAAAGCGCGCATCTCAACGGGTCGAGGAGCTCCGGCTCCTCGGGAGCCATCTGCTGCCCGTTTGAGGTCCCGCCCTCCTCCGACGCAGCCGATTCAAACGATCGGCTCATCGGCGAGCTCCGTCGAGGCCCGAACAATCGAATGAACCCGAGTTCCCCACGCCCGCCCGAGACAAATCGTCTCGTCTTCTTGACTCGCGTTGCGTTGGCCGCGCCCACTGGAATTGCCCCAAATCTCGACTTGCCGGTCCTAAGAGTAAAAGGCTCAAAGCCGTCCGCGATTCATACGCCGCGAAGACTTCTTTCTTTCCCAGCGCACGGCGCGTGACAGTCGCATCATCGCAATTATCACGAGAACCGCCTTCATTCTCTACTTGCAATGATGCGACGCTTTGGTCACGTGGCCCGGGTGTTTTCTTTCCCACGCGTCAGCGAGTCCTTGAAGGCAGCTGCGAGAAGCCACCGGAAATGACAAGTTCCACTGGCGCCAACGCCGTTCGAGTCTCTCGCGCGCACACTCGCCGAAGTCCCGACTGCGACTCGCGCTGCGCGTTCATGCCGGCCGGCCGACCGACCGACGGACGGACGCGTCGAGCGAGGAAAAGAGACGCGACCGATTGAAAGACGAGGAGATTCGTCGACTCGCCGCTTTTCACCCAAGGTACGACCACAAAAGTCGCCCGCTTGCCTGCCTGCCTGTTTGTCTTGTGCGCGTCGTTCTAGAACGTTCCATGCTGAAAACGCTCACGTTGTCATTGGAGAACTTTCGCCGTTTTTCGCTTTTGTTCTCGTCGCAAAAGGTTCACGTGCTCGTGTTTCTATGGCGACGGGGAGAGGAGCGGGGGGGGGGGGCTGGTGCCGGGTTTGGTTGGATTGACAGCCCGAGCTCGTGCCAACGCCGATCACGTGATTGAACTTGAATGACACCGTGGCGGTATGACGTGCCCGCTGGCCGGGTCGATTTTCAGCCTGCGGTGCGGTGCGGTGCGGTGCGCTGCGCGCGTCCCAAAAAAAGGCAGCGAGCGCGAGTCCACGCCGACGGAAAGAAAAGACACAAAGCGAGCGCACACGTTCGCTTGGAAGCCAAAGTGCACACGATTGACCGCCCCTTGAGACGTCACCGGATTGCAAGCGAAAGACCGCCGATACGCCGATCGCCGATGTCACCAGCAA